GAGAGAGAGAGAGAGAGAGAGAGAGAGAGAGAGAGAGAGAGATGGAGATGTTGGCAGAAAAGGAAGTTGTTTTTCTGCATCTTCCAGGAAGAGTGAATCCAGAGGACATCTCTATCTATCTGGCAGGAGGCACCCTAGACTAGGTGTCCAGGCTCTGGAAACCTCCAACTCTCCTTTGTCCTTCCTACTGCCAGGCTCACCAGCAGAAGGAAGTTCTAGTACTTGTTCAGGTATTGTGTAAATTATTCAGGAAAAGGACATTGTAGTTGCTAAAAGGAATGAGCTTCCTGACTTCATGGGACCTTCTCAGGTCGCTAGAAAGACACCCAGACTAAGAGAAGCAGGCTAGCCACATCTAGGAATCAAATCAATCAGCTAGCATTTAAAAAGCACCTTCTATGGGCCAGGCACTGTCTTAGATACTGAAGACACAGATAGAACAGTGAGACAGCTCCTGCCCTCAAGGAATTTATAATCTATTGGGTGGATCTACCGTATTCACAGGTTAGTGAACACAAGGATAGATACAAAATAATTACACTTTGATGGAAGGAGACAGGGCACACTACCAACTGGGAGAATCAGTAAAGTTCACTGGGTTGAAGCCTTGAAGGGAGATGGGGAATCCATGACATACAAGCAAGGAGGGAGAACTTTCCCACTGTGGCAGACAGCCTGTGCTTTAGATGGAATGTTGCCTACAGGGACCAAGGCTTGAGCCAGGGAGGCTGAAGTGGAGAGTGCAGGAGGAGGGGAGCAGTGGCATCTGCCTGGAAAGAGAGGCTGCAGCCAGAGCCTTTAAATGGCAACAAATGGCCCCATCATTTCTCTGAGGAAAACAGCCCGAGATTTTCCCTCTGTCTCCATTTGGCAGTGCCTGCCTGTCTCTCTCAAAGATACTCTGAAGGAGTGTGCATGTGTACACCGTGCAAGTACACAAAGGGAGGGAATCTCTGGGTCTGGGTGTGGTGCCTGAGCTGGGAGGTTGAATCTAGTAGGAGAGACTGGTGTTGGTAACAAGAGTGTGGTAGATACTAAATAGATATCAGTATGTGTGTACGTGCATGTATCGTCTATATGTATACACACACACATAAAGAAAGGGGGGAGGGTGAGACAGAGAGACCTAGATACAGAAAGACAGACAGACAGAGACGTAGAGAGAGACACAGAGACAGAGTCAGAGCCCAAGAAGATGATAAATACCGAGAATGCAGAACTTGGTCCGGGAAATCCAGACTGCCCAAGAGTGCCTCCTCTGTGTTAGGTATCTGGGTGCCATAATTCTTCTTTTTCTCCAGGAGCCCCATGGTTTCTCCACCAATACCCCTCTATTACTTCCAGGTCTTATTCTCGCACCTCCCATCTTGGCCATGAATTTTTCCTGCTCTCCTTCTTCCTCCAGCTATTGTTATCCCTTGGGCTACATGGTTTCCTTTTCCCTTAGGGTCCCATAATTTCCCAGGGGACCCCCCCAAAATGTGCAGGCTTCCCTCTGTGAATCCCCTTCAAGGCCTCTTGCTGTCCTGTTCTCTCTACCTCTCAGCTTCAGTCTTCTTGGTTCTATCCAGAAAGCCAAGATCAGAGAACCAGCTCAGAGATCCACCAACCAAGACCCAATCCTTCATACTCAGGATAGTGTCACTGGTGAGCATCCTCATTCATTCCCTCTCAAAGAGGGATCATCACAGAGCCAGCTGTACTGTGTTCCAGGAGGGGTATGCTTATGCTTTGAATAAGAAGACCTCAATAAAATCTCCATCTATTAACCTTGTCAACCCTGACCAGTTGGCTTTGGGTCGCCCTGTCTAAACAAGCATTTCTATTTAGTATGAAGATGTGGAGCAAGAGCCCAGGGTGGAGAAACTGGGTGGTATGTTTTCATAAGGTGACTTGAATACCCATGAGTTCCCAGAATGTCCCACACACCCATTAAGCCACAAATTAATGAGATTTGGGATTTTTTTGCCATTTCTGAGTAGCCCTTTGAAGGGATATAGCATGGAAGTGACTAAAAATTTAACAGCCCTCTCCTGCTGAGTCTAATTAAATGTTCAAAGGTTCATAATAGGTCATTTTCACATTGATCCAGCTATTGGATGCCCAAGCAATTTTATAATCCATCCACATGAATAGTCCCATTCATGAGGATGTGAGTAAAGGTGCTGTGTTACCAAAACAAATATTTTCTTTTCTTTAGATATTTATGACCTTTCATGGATTTTAAAAACTCTCTAAGCATAACTACACAATATTCATAGGACACCCAACTTTGAATGCTGATTTGGGCCACCAACCAGAGACTGATGCACTCTGAGGCCGGCAGCTGGGGTAGGCAAGAGACTGTTCCAATGTGAAGAAATTTAACTGTGTGACAAGATAATGGGGGTTGAATTTTTCAAATTTCAGCAGTTTTCAGAAGAAGAAATGTAAATGTTCATTGTTTAGAGAAAAAAATGCTCCAAGACACTAATAAGAGTAACGTAAATTAACATAATTCTGAGGTAAAGGTTACACCCAGAAAGTCAGTGATGATAATAAAACAAAAACCAAAACCCAAGAAGCCGATGTTGGAGGGGCTACAGCTATAAGGATGGAGCTAAGAACTGGTCTTTCCATTCTTAACAAGAATTTGGAATTATGTGAAAAAAACCATCAATCTATTCATGCTCAGTGAACTTATTACTGGGAATATCCCCCCAAAGAAGTCATTGACAAAACCAGTGGTTGCATTGATAACAAAATATTCATAGTATCACTTGTTGTGGTTACAAAAATACTATAAACAAAATGGATGTTTGTCTATTCAGGGATGGCTAGAGAAATTGTGACACATGAAATTAGTATGTGCAACATGGAGGAAATTGTAGCATATGAAATTAGTATATAACAAAGTAAGTGTTAAATAAAGATGCTGACTTGACACGAATGTAATCTAAAAGTATTGGGACTCCAAAAATGATGACTATGAAGAATTTGAAGAGAAGGAGGAAGACTTGCAGGAAGTCATGAAGACTGAGGACATCAGAACATACCTAGTGGTTGCAATAATGTAAAGGAGGACAACTGAACTCAAACTAATTGCAATAAGCAATCTTGGTTTCCAAGAATAGAGGATGGAACACACTCTTCTTGGAAGAGAGGTGGAAGCTGGTGCATGTGCGGCCAGACAGGTTTGCTTTGTCAGTCTACTTTGCTTTACTGTTAACCCTTGTTTTTAGGGGGAATTCACAGGGGGTAGAAAGCATGTCAGGAAATCAACGAAATGGGGAGGAAAATGGGAAAGAAAAAGAGATGATGGAACAGGAAGCTTACCTGGCTTTTTCACTGAAAGAAATCAGGGAAATGCCAGGAGGGGAATTTAAGACTTTCTGAGAGCCAGAGTACAAGACGTCAATGCCTGCAGTAACAGAGAAGAAGAGATTGAGTTGCATCTGTCCCTGGCCCTATAAGAATGGGACTTGGTGCTCCAGATCTCTCTCCCTGAGGAGGCAGGCCTGGAGCACTTGGGAAGATCCTTCCCAATATTCTTTTTTAATGCCTTCAAACAGAATTCTGGGGGAGGGCAAAGCAAAGTGTTGGTGATTATTTTCTGGTCTGTGCAGCTTTAGTCTTCTTCCTTAATGACACCTGGTGGCCAGGGCCGGCTCATTTAGTGTCCATTTTTTCTACAACAATCCTTACACCAATATCCAGCTCTCCAATGCCCCCCACCTTGGCAACTCACCCAGATGTGCTCCTGTTGAGCAATGTACATGCTCCAGACTTTCCCAGGCTCTCTCTCCTCCATTAGAAGTGACCTGTTCCAGGTCCTAATCCCCCAGAGACTTGCCTTCCAAGAGTTTAGTTATCTAGTCTGAACAACTTATTTTTGCTAAGAGGACAGTGGTATTAATGTAACCTTTCCCTTCCCTACATAAGAAATTTGTGTTTAAAAGGTGCCAAAACCAAAGCAGTGTTGCCCATGAGGGAATTTCAGTCTTCATGGTAGATGGAGGGGTCAAATATAGTGGATTAGGAGTCTTTCTATATGGTGCAACATAATCATACAGGAATCTCTACACCCCAGCCCATCTGGCAGCATCTGGAAGCCCAAATGGGGGCTCATAACTATCGGAATTAAAAAAGACCCCTAGTGGCTCTTACCTTGCTTGTCCATGTAAATTGGAGCTCCCCCTAAAGAGGCTACAGAGTCCACCACGAGCAAACAATCATGCCTGACAAAGGAAGAAAGCAAATCCGTGGAAGTAGGTATGACTTGCTAACCTTTCTAGCACAAAGTACTGTGCATTCCTTATCTGATTTAATCCTCTTATAGCCCAATGGGGCAGTTGTTACAGGCATTGATTGTTATTACTAATGTATATGTGAGGAAACCGAGGCGTGAAGTGACTTGTCCATAGGCAGCTAGGTGGTACTGTGGTTAGAGCTCTGGGTCTGGAGTCAGAAAGACTTGAGTTCAAATCTGGCTTCAGACACATCCTAGCTGTATGACCCTGAGCAAGTCATTTAACCTCTGTCTGTCTCAGTTTCTTCAACTATACAATGAGGATAATAATAGCACCTATCTCATAGGGTTGTTGTGAGGATTAAATAAGACAATATGTTTTAAAAAAGCACTTGGTACATTCAATACACACATGCACCTAGGTATGTGTGTGTACATATATATGATTACATACCTTCACACACAGTCCCAAAAGTCAGCTCAGTCTTAAGCTTTAATAGCTTTTAAATTCTTGGAAAATGGATTATCTGGGTATAGATTTATCCTTTTTCAACCAGGACATCTAATTCACTGAGAAATCCCTTCCCTGGCCAGGTTAGATTATAGAGTTTATTGTGCTCCAAGGAAGTAAGCCATGTATCACTGGGTGCCCACATGGTGAACCACAAAGTGTCCCTCAAATAACTTTCTGGAAAGTATTCTGAAATTCTAGGGAAAGGTTCACAAAATTTACCAAGGCAATGTTCCTGGGAAGGCTAAGGGGTGGATTGTGAGAGGTAAGTGGATTTCAAGCTAAAGTAAGGAATCTGAGAGACTGGTAGCCACTCTTCTCATCTTATCTAGGGCATCTCTGGGAGTAACCTGTGGCAAAGATCACCATAGCCATCCAAGGGCTGCAGTATTCCAGTGGATGATTCTCCGTGGGTGAGAAAAAACACCACAGGTTTATGTTGAGTGAGACCCTAGAGAGAGAGAGAGAGAGAGAGAGAGAGAGAGAGAGAGAGAGAGAGAGGTGAGTTTCCCCACCTGTATGAGCAGGTTAGACCAGGGAGGCAATGGCCTCCAAGGTGCTTCCAGCTCTCCATCCATGTCCCTAGAATCCCCCCAAAGTCCTCTTCGATCTTCCCCATCTGAAATCGCTCTTCCTCCTCACATTTTCTCAGAGCACTTTGTCAGTTTTGCTCTTTTGAGCTGGTCAGACTCTGCCTGCCTTGTGTGATGCACATTGGTGTTCTTGCCGTGTCCCTGGTAGAATGTAAGCCCCACTGGGGCAGGACCTGAGTCATTCTGGTGCTTGTGTCTTTAGCACCTCACACAGCACCTTAGAGCAGGTGCTCAATATATGCTTGTTGAATTGAATTAAATTCACACAATGGAACTGATAATGGCTTCACTACCAGCAGGCAGGATATATCTTGAAGGCCTTCCAAACATCTAATCTACTGGTTGGAGAACCCAGAACTACTGGTTGGAGAACTCAGAACTATCGGTTGGAGAACTCAGAACTACCGGTTGGAGAACTCAGAACTACTGGTTGGGGAACCCAGAACTATTGGTTGGAGATCCTAAAACTAGTGGTTGGGGAACCCAGAACAGCTATTTACTTCATGGACTCTCTGCCTTATGCTGGCTCTTCCTCTTTGTTCTTCTTCATCATCATTATCACTATCATCTTCTTCACAATAATAATCACTGACGTTCATTTACAGCTGTCAGATTTCTGAAGTGATTTACACACACTAGCTCACTTGAGCCACACAACAACTATGTGAGTCAAAACTACAGCCATTACACTAACACCTCTATTACGCAGGATTAGGCTTGCTCTGCTTGGCCCCAGAGGGCAGAACCAGGGGGGAAGTTGTAAAGAGGCCAATTAATGTACATTAACCTTAATGTGAGGCGAAGAAGTTTGAAGAATTCTACCTGTCCCATATTGGAACAGGATGCCCTGGGAAGTAACAAATTCTCTTTGTCAGTCTCCAAGCAAAAACTGGGCAGCCACTAGCTAGGTATGTTATAACAGAGATTTCCACTCATGGATAGGTTAGCTGAGATGACTGGGTCAATCAACAAACAAGCCTTTATTACTTATTCTGTGCCAGGCACTGTGCTAAACACTGAGTGTACAAAGCAAAAGCAAAAGCAAAAGCAATCCTTCTAACTCTTAAATTCTGTGGTATGATTAGGAAGGAAAGTGAAGCTCAGACAAGTGACTTCCTTGGGTCACATGGCCAGTAAGTATCAGAGGTGGGATTGGAATCCATGCCTTCACAACTCCAGGTCCAATTTCAGGTCACTACAAAACCCTTTTCTTTAAGGATAATGATGATGAAGGTCATCATCATTTTAGACTTCCTGAGGAGTGTGAATTGAGTTGTTCTGCCTCATCTAACGTAACAACTGTGTAAGGCAATGGACCATGTATTTTCCATCAGGCCCAGAGAAGTGAAAGGAACATTTTAAAAAATATTTTTAAATAATATTTTATTTTTTCCCCAATTACATGTAAAGACAATTTTGAAGGGAATATTTTTAAGGTAGGTGCTCCCTAAGACTGGCCATGGCCTTCCTTAGTCCTTCTATTATATTCTGTGAAACAATAATCTCATTAATTCCTATGACGTCAGCCATCACCTCTTGACAAATGACTCCCTCAATGACATCTTAAATCCTGATACCTCTTCTGGCCTTTAGATCCTGATCTTCAGTGGCCTATGGGATGTTCCTTTCTGGCCCTCATGTGGCACCTCAAACTCAACTTTCCCTAAAATGAGTTTGTCATCTTTCCCCCTAAACCCTCCTTCTTTCTGTTGTCAGTATTTCCGTCAGTGACCCCACAATTCATTTGGTATCCCATGTTCAAAACCTTGGTGTCATTACTGATTCTTTCTTCTCCTTCACCGCTTCCATTGGGCAACTTCCTACCAATCCTACCTCTACAAAATCTCTCACATTCATCCCTTCCTTTAAACGAATGAATGAAAAATCACCAAGCACTGTGCTAAGCATTGGGAACACAAATACAAAAGCAAAACAATCTTGCCCTCGTGGATCTTCCATTCTAGTGGGAGAGACACCATATGCAAAGGAGCAGTGGTCAGAGAAGGGTATTTTAGTTTGGAGTGTTCCTGGGAAGGTGAATGGAACCAAGGTAAAGTAGATTGACATGCCCTTTCCAGTAGCAATGGAAATAATGATTTAATTATGGTCTAGAACATGAAGGCAGAAGGGAACAGGACAGAGCTTATATATGAGGTGGCCAGGAAGTTGACAAGAAGATGGCATTACCCTTTTACAGGTCTTCATTACCACCTTCCTAAAACACTATACAGTATCCCATAGAATCCCATACCTTTTGAGGTGGACGGGGCACTCTTATAGGTCTTTCAGCTTCCACTACCTGAGCCTTCAATCCATCCTTTGTACTCCTGACAAGCTAACAGGATTACTCACAATTCTCCAGGGTCTTCCTATTGCCCACCCAGTAGAGTTCCATCTCCTTTGCCTGATATTCCAGGGTTTTCACAGTCTGGTGATCCCTCTACCTCCGTTCTAGGCTTTCCTCACATTCCTTTCCTTTGTGAATTCTGCGCTCCAGTCCAACTGGACAGGTCCATCCTTTGAACATGCTCTGTGCTCTCCACTCTCTTGGTGTTTGCTCATGCTCTGCGGCGTCTGAAACATCCTCCCCTTTCTTTCTTCAGCAATTCCTGTTGAGTTCCCATCCCCCTTTTGAAACCCATTTCAAATATGACCTTTGTCATGAATCCCATCATGATTCCCACCCCCACTGCTAATGAACCACTCCTCACTCTGCCTCCTCCCTTTGTCGGCACCTCTTTGATGCACGTATCGTTAATTATTTAGTACTATAGCTATCTCTTTATTTGACATATTCTGATACTAAATAATATTTGATTGTTTAGTTTCAAGAGGGCAGGGACAGGGGCAGCTAGGCGGCGCAGTGGCTAGAGCACTGGCCCTGAAGTCAGGCGGACTTGAGTTCAAATCTGGCCTCAGACCAAACACTTGACACTTACTAGCTGTGTGACCCTGGGAAAGTCACTTAACCCCAATTGCCTAAAAAAAAAAAAAGAAAAGAAAAAAAAAACCAAGAGAGCAAGGACAATATTGATGATGAGAATGATTATAATTAACATTTATGTAGAACATTATGGTTTTCAGAGTATTTTATACGTTATTTCACTTGACCTTCATGACAACTTTGTGAGGGAAGTGCTATTTTTATCCCATTTTATAGATGAAGAAAGTGAGGCTCAGAAAAGTACGTTTGCCCATGTTAACACAGATCGACACCGTCTGAAGAAATATTCGATCGTAGGCCTTGGCTACCCGTAAGTCCAATACTGGTTATGTCCAACACTGTGTCATCTCACCGTTTAACATCTCAGTGTTATGTCTGCTCCAAGTGCCCAGCACAGCGATCTATATACAGGTACTTCACCAGTGTTTGCTAAATTGAATCGGCTTGGATTGTCTGGGTCCCACTGTTCATTAGCATCATGGCCACAGATGGGCACCAAGCTCCCAATCCAGGGCTCTTCTTGTTACACCCCCTTTACTGTATAATATTTTCTGAGGTCAGTTATAGGGTGGAAGGTTGAGTATAGGATGGCTGAATGCAAGCCCAATACTGACCTTCTCCACTTCTTGCAGAGTGTAATACTCTCCAGGGACCTTCACCATCTGGTGCACTTTGGCTCCTGTTGGAATGAAGAAATATAGGAGGCAGAGGATCGGAGGGAAAACAAAGAAAAGGCATCAGCCACAGCTCAGTGGCTCAGTCCCACAGTTGACAGCATGGTGGAGAGTAGAGGGCCAACCCCTCAACATCCAGATGCCCGGTCAACAATGTTGGCTTCTCTTTTGGTTGCACGATATCTACTTCTGCAGGTGGCAGCAGAATGATGGGAGAAGAGGGCAAGGGGTGCTGGGCATTACACTATGTCCAGACCATCTGTAAACATGCGCTTAGTGGTTGGCATTCTAAATGTGAGTTCTTTGTCCAATAACAAACAAGTGATAAGCACAGTTGCTTCATTTCAGTGGTACATAAGGAACGGTATCATTGGGCAGCTAGGTGGCGCAGTGGATAGAGTGCCACGCCTGGGGTCAGGAAGACCTGGGTTCAAATCGGGCCTCAGACACTTACTAGCTGTGTGACTTAGGGCAATTCACTTAACCCTGTTTACCTCAGTTCCTTATCTGTAAAATGAGCTGGAGAAGGAAATGGCAAACCACTCCAGTACCTTGGCCAAGAAAACCACCCAAAAGGGGTCACAAAGAGTCAGACATGACTGAAACAACTCAACAACAATAATATCATTGAAATAGAGGTGGTGACCCTCAAATCTGGCTTAACTTGGATTGCAGTGACTCAGTATCCCCCCATGCTCTTCAAGAGAAACATGGGGAGCAAAGGAAGATTGCAAATCTCAGAGCAACAGTGCAACACTTAGCGTCCAACACTCACAGAATGAGCTTTTGGGAGTGCAGTTAGGAAGCTGGGACACAGGCAGGGAGTTTCTCTCCTTTCCTTCTTATTGTCTTTTAGTGATGAACACGTCCAGTTGATTTGGCTCTACATAGCTGCTGGCGGTTTGAGTCACATGTGTGTCTCAGTGCCTGATTTCTATCTGTTCATTCTTTTGATGCTTTAGCAGGGACAAATGGAAAAAGCATGGGGCCTGGAGTCTTGAGAGACATGGGTGCAATTCCCAGCTTTCACAATTAGCAGCCGTGTGACCTTGGGCAAGCCAGTTTGATTTCTTTGAGGCTCAATTTCTTTATCTGTAAAATGGGGATAATAGTATGTCCACTACTTACTTCACAGGATGCTTTGGAGAAAATTTCTTTGCAAACTTTACATCATTAAAAATATGAGTTATTGTATCTTCCTTGCTTGAATGTGTGTGTGACTGTGATCTAGGGCTGAGAGGCCCTGCTTTCAATTTATAGGAACTATTTTAAATGAGTCTAGCATCCTGCTGGACATTTCCTCCACATTCAAGGTGGGCTCAGAGATGGTATGGCATTGTGGCTAGAGGGCCAGCCTTGAAGCCAGAAATATCTGGATTCAAATCCCGTCTCTGACACCTACCTCCCAGAGCCTCAGTTTCCTCAACTGGAAAACAAGGATGATATCTGTAGCCACAAGAGTGAGGTTATACAAGAGTGGTATGTTATACAAAATTTGTTAAAAAAAAACAAAAAAACAAAAAAACAACTCCGAGTGCTATATGAACATAATCACTTATTCTTTTTCTGGGAAGTTTATCAATAGTCAAGCCAGTGCCTGGACCTTCCAGGTGATTGCCCAGTTCTTTTAAAAAGGTTCTGTTAGCGTTTTAAGTTCATGGGGTCCTAGATTTAATACTGGAAGGAAACTTAGAGGTCACACAGTCCAATGTGCCCATTTTCCAGATAAGGAAGCTGAGTCTCAGTGAATGAAATGATGTCTAATGTTCACCAAGCTAATAAGTGGCTTTAAATCATGTCCACTAACTTCACATTTTGTCTGGAAAGGAGAGATGGGAAACCCTTTCCTGTGAAATCCTATGGTCATGACAAAATCTGCAGCTCCCTTTGTGGCTATCTTAGGTTATCTATTAACAAGAACTTGGAACAATGACCTATCCTTCTTGAACCGACTTCCTAAGAAATCGCCCTGGAAGCTCTGCTGAAATGTCTGTTTACAGTCTGATCAATCATTAAGCCCCATGAGATCCACACTCCTCCTCATTTCCCCTCTTTTGAGCTGCTTTTGCTATGCCAAGATGGGAAACTCGATTGTGGTATTGGCCGTATAGAAGACCTGCCCCCGGGCCCATGGGTTTAGCACATTCAAGGAAACTCTGGAAGATGGAGAAATTGTTGGAGTTAGGAGACTGCCTTTTTGGGAACCTTTCTATCTGGAAGGTGGTTCTTGGTGAAATGTTTCATGCCAAGTTGGACTGGGCAGGACTTGTGATAATCAAAGGTATTACTACGTGTGCTGCCATTCTCCCTGGAAATATCTCTCCCTAGATGATAGATGGCTACTCAGTACATCCATGCCTTAGACCTGTAGGAAGGCAGAAAAGTTAAGTATGGTAGACAAGGGATTTGGATTAAACTGGTCAATTAAAGTGGGCAGCTAGAGGGCACAATGGATAGGGTGCTGGACCTGGAGTCAGGAAGAACTGAGTTCAAAATCAGCCTCAGACACCCACTAGCTGTGTAACCCTAGACAAGTCACTTAAAATAGATAACCCCAGTTCCATGTAAGCTCCTTGACAGTAGGAATTCTTTCATTTACAGCACTCTTTTAGGGATTCACGATGATTCTGAAGTCACGGTTTCCTTATTGGTAAAATAAGAGAGTTGTACTATACTCTCCAAGGACCTTTCCAGCTCAAAATCTCTGTCCCTGTAATGCTCTTCATCCAACAGTAGCTTACATTTCTCTTCAATTGCCCCTGTTCTAAAGTCACTTACCTGTCAGTCTTGGTCTGCGTCTGGAACTCCCCCAAGACAGAGTTGGTTCACTTACCAATCCTCTCAGCCATGTCCACTATCCGCTCTCCCCAGATGCCGTTCACCCCCACCAGGACAGATTCCCCTGGTTCAACCAGGTTGAGCACGGAAACTTCCATAGCTGTGTGTCCAGAGCCACTGAGGGCCAGGGTGAGCGTGTTCTGTGTTTGGAAAGCATACCGGATGCCATCTTTGATGTCATCCATGATCTGAAGTAAAAAAAAAAAAAAGTCAATGAGTGCCCTGTGACCATAGGCATTGCCCTAACTGGGGCAATTTTGTTTGAACGGAGAATTCTCAAAGACAAATGTTTATTAAGTGCCTCCTACGTGTAAGGCACCATGTTAGACAGGACAGTGAATACAGATACAACCACTGCCCTGGCCTCCAGGGAAGGACTCAAATACTCTCTCTCTGTCTTCCTCCTTCTCCCTTTTCTCTCCATCCATGTCTTTCTCACTCTTTCTATTTTTGCCTCTTTCTCCCTTTTCTCATTTTCTCCTCCTTCTCCTATCTATCTATCTATCTATCTCTGTTTCTCTTCCCCCTGTCACTCTCTTTGACTTCTCTCTCCCCTCTGGAAGAAGTACCCTACTAACAAGGAGACAAAGGTAAGATAAGGGTGACAACAGGTAAGATAAGGGTGACTACAGCCCACAAAATCATTGATCTAGAACTTTGAAGAACTCCAGGCCAGTCTAACCTCCTCATGAAGAAACTGAGGTTTGGAGAGATGAAGTGATTTCCCCAAGGACATACAGATAGTAAGAGAGATCCAGCAGAAGTGTGATGAAAAATTGAGGGAGGCAAAGACAAGTATGGCATAATAGGAATTTAGAGTTAGGAGACTTGAGTTCAAATTCTGGCTTTGAGATGAATTAGATGTATGACCATGGACAAACTACCTAGTGTTTCTGAGCCTCAGTGTTCTCAGCCACAAAACGGGCATATCAATATCTGTATTCCATTCCCACCAGGATTGTTGTGAGGGAACTGGGAAAAATAACAAACTATCTCACAGAGGCCAAAGAGCCAACATTATGCCTTGTTGGAATTTCGATCAAAGTCCTTCCTGCCTCCGTCGTATTATTACTGTGATGGAGATTCTGATTCTACTAATTAATAATGGAGTCACAGTTCTCCATAATCCCCCTTTCCATCCTTATTTCATTCTACTTCCTTTCATGTATTCTGAATCCAAAAGAGGCCAGACTGTTCTTGACCTCCATTCTTATCTTTCTCCTTTCTTGTCTCTGTTTGGCAGCTAAGTGGCATAATGAAGAGACCACTGCTCTTGGAGTCAGGAAATCCGGAGTTCAAATTTTGCCTTAGACACTTAATAGCTGTGTGACTCTGAGCAACTTTCTTAATCTCTATTAGCCTCAGTTTCCTATCTAGTCATGTTCTTCTCCCCCCCCCCATCACTCTGGTCAGTGATCAAATAATTTGAACTTTCCTGAAGACAATTCCTAAGTCAGACAGATATCTGGTTTCCTTGTTTCTTAGAACTGTAAGCAAGGGCTTTGTATTGACAATGGAGGTGTTTTTACCTGTTTTCTGTTGATGACTTTGGAACAAGTGTGAAAGGGATTGTTTATCCAGAAAGTATTTTAATGTGAAAAATATGTGACCTTAGCCAAGTCACAAGATCATTAGACCTCAGTTTACTTCTCTGTAAATGAGGGGATTGGATTCATTGTTCTCTTACATTCCTTCTAGCTCCATGCTCCTGTGGCTCCCCCAGTGTTGTTGTGAAACTTAAATAAGAGGTTAATAGCTTATATTTTTGTTTTTATTTCATTTGAACACACCTGACTAGTCACCGCCACAAGCAACCCTGGGGTAGAGGCACTCCAGGTATTGTTCTCTCCATTTTAAAGATGAGAAAACTGAGGCCTACTGATGCCAAGTGACTCCCACAGAGAGTAAGTGCCAGAGGTAGGACTCAAACTCAGTTCTCTCCTGCCTCCAGGTCCAACATGGCCTCAGACTCCAACCTTCTGCTATCCTGAAGTTCAAGCATATTTCTAGAGAGAGTTTTGGAGAGAGACATCTAAGTCGATTCTCCCACCACTTACCTTGTACATTTCATCCTGCAGGGGTCCGATCACTTGGTGGGTCCCTGCAAGTATGACCCGAGAAGAAAGATTGGCAGGTCCAGGCCCCAACAGAAGTTTGTTTGGGACTCTCAGGGGCTTCCTCAGGGAGGCTGGGGGGGCCACAATCAACGGGTGGCTGGCCATGGCCTGGCTCTGTAGAAGTGTTAGGACAGGGATGTGTGGCTGGACCCAACCTGCTGCCTGGGAAGCCCAGAGCACTCTGCCTGGGATGATTGCCTAGCAGTGCTGACAAGCACTGATTGATTGTTTGCAACAGGCCTTTTATCAACAAAGAAGCAAGAATCAATAGGTTCTGTCCCTGTAAGCCTAGAGTAAGTTTGCGCTCTCTCTCTCTGTCTCTCTCTGTCTCTGTCTCTCTCTCTCTCTGTCTCTCTCTCTCTCTCTATACATATATCTCTGTGTCTGTCTGTCCCTCTCTCTCTGTCTCTCTCTGTCTCTGTCTCTCTCTCTCTGTCTGTCTCTCTCTCTTTGTCTGTCTCTCTCTCTCTGTCTCTCTCTCTCTCTATATATATATGTCTCTGTCTCTTTCTCTCTCTCTCTCTCTCTCTGTCTGACTGTCTCTCTCTCTGTGTCTGACTGTCTGTCTCTCCCTCCTAACTTTCTCCTTCTCTCTTATTTCTCTCTCCTTTTCTCCTCCCCCACTCTAAACTCCACCTGGCCTTCTTCTTGCAGTGACAGGACCTGACTTTTAAAGACTGTTGCACCCTCTTTTTTAGGATTGGAAGGGGGTTCCCCTCCCTCCCTCAGGATCAATAAAGCAACCTGGCCTCAAGCCCTCTGTTATTACCTCCCTTTCTGATCTTTTTCTTGCTCCTGATCTTTAATAAAAGAGAAAAAAGAGCATCTTAATGCTCTCAAGTCTCCTAAGGAAAGCCAGTGACTTCTGACCTCCAATTACTGCCCTCCCCCCCCCTGCTCAACTACTCCTTTAAAGGAGGGGCTACTTCCCAGGAAGAGGCAAGCATTTCTGCTCATCTTCCCACACTCCTTTCTCCCCCCACATTCCCTTAGACATTGAACTCTGAGCTTCTTGGAATCAGAGGGGCCAGATTTCACTGACTTGTACAAACTCTTTTTGTCTCTGTTTAGAAAAAGGGAAAAATGAAAACTAAAACAGGAGTTCCTATATGGGGATTCAAAAATGAAAGAAAATCATGAGATGAAATAAATGTGAATTGGACACTCATCTATGATGTTGACAGGACTTTTTGAGTCTTATGAAATGCTTTGGGTCCATTTCCAAGGTGGCATGGTGTCCTTGCCAGCTTCTTGGACTCCCAGGTTCAACTCTGCCCCCACCAAGCTCTAGGACCCAAGACAAGCCCCCCAAGCTCTCTGGGCTTTAGGTTAATCATTTGTAAAATGGGGGTGATACCCATCAACATTCCAGGTTGGTCAGGAGCAAAGTGCTTTAGAAATCTTAAATTGCTGTCAATCAACAAACATTCACTAAGCACCTACTAAGGACCAGACCTTGTTCTCCTGGCTGGGTACACACAACCTAAATTGAAACAACCCCGCTGTCTGGGGCACCTCTAAACGCATCAACTATTAGTCTCTCATTGAAGCTTCAGAATGAGCCCATGAAGGTCACAGGGGCCTGGAAGTGATCGAGAAAGAACGTAGACCAAGCATTTCATTTTACAGAACAGTAAACTGAGACCCAAATATCCTAGGGTCATATAGCTGGAGCTGGGAGGATATCACAGCTTACCTAGTCCAACTCTCTCATTTTACGACGGGGAATCTGAGGCCCAGGTGGGGTACGTGTCTTGACTAGGGTCACTTAGGGAGTAAGTATCACAGGAAATATTTGAACCCCAAGTCCTTTGAATCCAGAACCAGGGCTTTTTTTATGTGTTCTACACTGTGGAACATGTCTCTGTACTGCCAATATTATTTCTAGCTCCAGTATGAACATTTCTTAGAACGAAATAGCTTGAGTGACTACAGACTCATTAATAGAGGAATACTCTAAGAGATTCCATCCTTTGGAAGGCATGGGTATGACACATTATGTTGATCCTAGAGGGATTCAGTAACTGCAGAATGTCCCACATGGCCATGGAAAGAGGGCTGAAAGTAAGACTTAGCAAGCAATTGAGGCAGGAATCTTTCTGAAGGGGATACAATAGTAAGGGTGTCAGATTTTGTGTCAAAGGATCAGGGTTCAAATCTCAGTTCTACCTCTCATTAACTGAGCAGCTGACATAATTTCTTATTTTGGGGTCTCAATCTTTCTCATCTGAGGGGATCAGTCTGCATGACCTTTAATGTCTTTTCCAGATCTGAATCTATGATTTGACTTCCTTGCATTTATGGTTATAAAGGTCAAAGCTTCATCTTTAAAGTTCTAACATCATTGGGGAATAGAATAATGGAAAGCCTTAGAAAAATAATGAATTCAATAATTACTGCACCTGCAAATAATGAAAGAATATGAAATATAGTCAATCTCTATTTGGAAATCAATATTCCCTGATAGTCTTATAGGATAATATGGTTGATGTATCTTTCACATCCATTCCAGGATGGAGGGAGGAAGGAAGGAAAGAAGGAGAGAAGAAGGAAGGCAGGGAGAGAGGAAGGAAGGAAGGGGAGGAAGGAAGGAAGGAAGGAGGGAAAGAAGAGGAAAGGAAGAAAGGAAGGAGGGAAAGAAGAGGGAAGGCGAGAGTTAGGAAGGGAAGGAGGAAAGAATGAAGAGAGAGAGGGAGGGAAGAAGGAAGGAAGCGAAGGAGTAGGTAGGGAGAGAAGGGAAGAAGAAAGGAAAGAAGGAATTGAGGGAGGAAGGAAGAAAAGGAGGCAGGATTAGAAAAAGAAACATTTACTTAGCATTTTTATTTGACATTTCCTATTCAAAGTGCTATTCTAAATCCTGGGAATAAAAAAAAATAGGAAGACAGACAGAAGTTGCTCTTGAAGAGTTCCCATCCTAATAGAGGGAGACAACACAGAGAAGCACAGGTCAGTTAGAAGGTCCCTCAGAGGTCAATCAGTCTGAGCTCTGTCCAAAGCAGAATCCTTTCTACAGTAGAAAAGGGACTATGGGTGACTACCTAGAAATGAAGCCATATACCTTCATTAAACCTGGCTAACTTTCTTTTTTTGCTTTGACAGTCTAGCTTTGACACCCATGATACAATGGTCATTCAGCCTTTGCTTAAAGGTATCAAAGCAGCCAGGCACAGTGGTGCTGGAGGATTTCCTGGGCTCAGGAGGTCTGAGCTGCCTAAAGCTAATCCAATCAGATATTCCCCAAGTCTAGCATAAGTATGATGAGGTCCTGGGAATGGGGAGCCAGCAGGCTGCCTAAGGAAGGGTTAACCAGTCCAGGTTAAAAAACAGCAGATCCAAGCTTCCGTGCTGATCAGCAGTGGGGTTAGACACATGGGTGGCCACTGAATTTCCAGCCAGGGTGAGACAGGGAGACCCAGTGTCGATGATAATGATGATAACAGTGACAGAATTAAGGGAACTAGACCATGCTTACAGAAGTACGGGGGGCCAGGTGTGGTGAGACATGCCTGGGGTCCCTGCTTCTGAGGATGTTGAGGCTGGTGGATTTCTTGAGCTCAGGATCCTTCATGAATTGAAGGCTATGAGACTGCCTAAAGAGGGGGAAAGTGGCATAGGCGATCAAGGGGGCAGGTCAAAGTTTCTATGATGATCAATGTTGTGCCTGAGTCTGTGAGTAGCTTTTACACTTCCAGTCAGGGTGAGATAAGGAGACCTAGGCTCAAAAAAAAGTATAGAGGTTATTTGTTCTTTGAATGTTAGATAGAATTCATTTGTGAATCCATCTACTTGGGGGTCCTTAATACTTGGAAGACCATTCATGGTCAGTTTATTTCCTTCTTCCGAAGTTGGTTTATTTGGAGTCTTTGCTGTTTTGTCCATTGGATATTTCTGTAAATATCCAAACATTTCCTTTATGCTGTCAATTTTGTTGACATCTAGTTGTATGCAAGAGATTCTGTTAGTTTTCTTTATTTCTTCTTGATTTACTTTATTATTTCTATTTTGGCAATTTGATCTTCCTCTATAATCTTTTTTAAAAATAAAATTGGCTATTGTCTCATCATCTGTGTTGGTTTTCATAAAAGCAAACTTTAAAAGATGTAGCAATCTAATTGTTATTTGAATTCCTAGTTTGTTTATTTCTCCTTTTATTTTAATTATTTCCCATTTTGAGTCTGCGTTTGGTGTATTTGTTTGTTCATCTTCCAGCCTCTTCAACTATAAACTAAATTCATTAGTTTTCTATTTCTCCTTCCTTTTAATATAAGCATTAAGGGATAGAAGTCTGTTGCTGAGTACTGCTTTGACTGCATCCTGTCTCTCATTTGTCCTTTCCAAGTTTTAATAACATAAGTACAAACCAATAACCTCACAGGCTCTTGAAAATACTCTGGATTGAACTGGACTCAAATCTTTGCTAAAATAAGTGACCAAACAGAAATAGACACTTAGGTTCAGTCCAACTGGATAGACTTGAAGTCAGTCGAGAACACATGCACCAAGAAACAGTCTCTAGAAACAACCCAAGAGTAAGCTTGGTTGCATTGGGTTGGATTGGGTCGGATTGAGTTGGACTGTGTTTCACCTCCATGGCACCAGACAGCTAGTTTGCGTTTTTTGTTTTCTCTCTCCTGGGAGCTCTCTCCTGCCCTACCCCCTCCAGTTTTCAGCTGTTTGTTTTGGCACCGAGTAGAGAGAACCTCTTCTTTTGCCTCCTATTACACATAGTGGATCAGGAGAGATTTTGCAAAGGGCAAACCCATAGCTTTAGTAAGCAAGGAGGGTCAAGGCTCTGTCATGGTTTCAGGGGTTAAATACCCAATACCTGCACTGATGCTGACCTGGGCACATCATGGAAAGAAAAGCAAACCCAGAACTTTCTTCTCACTTCCCTCTCACATTAGATGTGAAGAGAAGTATGTCTAATTTAGGTACTCATAAGGCATTCAGTGATCTTCACAGCTGCAGAGATCAGAAAGATAGATGACATGATGGAGAGGAAAGATGCATAGATCTGGAGTCCGAGGACCTGGATTTGAATCCTGGTTCTGTTACCACTTGTACTACTCTCTGTGCCTCAGTGTCCTTCTCTATAGATTGAGAGAGTTGACCAATCTGATCAGGTCTGCTCTGCTCAGGAACCTTCAGTGGCTTCCTATAGCCTTCAGTATTAAATGCAGACTCCTCAGCAAGGCAC